GCCCGACGGACATGAGCCAGGTCTTTCCATCTGGTGACTTCTCATAAACTCCTATGAGGAAATGCTCTGGACTCCAGAAATGTCTGGGCCTCTCCTGAAAGCATCTCTGTTGCCCTCTGTTCCCCAAGAAGACAACCCATCCATCACAGGCCTGTGTTCCAAACTGCTACATTTCAGGGACCTCACAGAGACAGGGGAGGGGGGGAATGGTGTCTAAAAGCTTCTCCTGTCTGACCTCTGTGGGATGTGACAATCCTGTTATAATAAACAGCCTCTGGCACCCGGCGCGGTCATTTGCACATTCCACATCTTCCAGACGGCTTCCCGCTCCCCCACGCCAACCAGAAGCCCCCAAGGCAGGGACTCTGGCGCTCTCTGGACTGTTCCTTCCTCTGACTCCCACTCACCCACTGGTGCTCAGGCCAGGGCATGGAGGGCTCACGTTTCCACTCCTCCTGGGTCCTTCAGAGTGACCTTGGGCTGACCCAAGGCTCCACCACATGGCTCCCCTTATCTTGGCTCCAGCCCACAGCCCCTCAGGATCCCTCCCGCCGCACTTCTGGAGTCTGTGGTTCCTTCCTCCCACCACCCCCCATTGTACCCACCACCCTGAAACAGTTGCACATGACTTTCCCCTATCTTTCAGCCCCACCCTAACCATCCGGTCAGCACCAAACCACGCCGCCTGGAACATGACTCATCCCCTCCCCCAGCTTTTGGACCTTCAGACTGGGGGACAAAGGGGAAAGAGAACTTGGACGGGGACACCAGCTTGGGGGAGGGGGACCAAGAGGGTTGATGGACAAAAAGTCAGCTTAGAGCCTCAGGGGTGGGGACGTGCCTGGTGTTAGATATGCCCGGTGAGTATGCACATATGGGTATAATTACACACAGAGGGTCCAGATTATAAGGGAGAGTATTGCCTTTTGGGTGTGTATTATGAATTACAGTTTGTGTACTGAGGGCATGTGGAATTAGGCCTAACGCCTATCCACTGCTTCAAACACATTAGGGTTGTTGTGCATAGAATGACAGGTTGCAAAGAGGTGAGTGAGTGTGGGCTCTACCTTCATGTAACAGCCTAACCTGGGCCCTCCTCCTAGTCCCCTCCCTGGAGCAGCCACGCCAGTGGTTCCCAAACTCGCTGCCCACTGGAATCCCCGGGGCCTCTTTAAACATACTGTTGCTCTTAGAGATCAGATTTCATTGCTGTGGAGGGCAGCCCAGGCATCGGGAGTTTCCAGAGCAATCCCGGTGATTCTAATGGGCATCAAAGTTTGGGAGCCCCTGAGCCATGGCACTTCTTTTTAAAAACCTCAGCTCCGTCTGCCTAATGGTCAGCAGCCTTGGGACAGGGCGCGCAGTGACACATGACTGCGACTGATAGCTCCAAGCTACTTGCGGAGCTTATAATCCTTGCCTGGGCCCCGGGCTATGTGTCCTACAGCGAGCCGATTACTCTCAATACTCTTACCGCCTCACCGCCTACCGGTCCAGTGTGGCCGTGTGGGGAGAGCCAGACGATGCTAGAACCCTGCCTCGTGGATGAGGTGAACAGAGAGAGGGGGCTGGGGGGGGGGCAGCTAGGATGGGCCAGACCCAGGGCTGGGATGCGTCCAGCCCAGGGGCACTCCCCACAGCCCTGTGTATTTTGCAGGACAAGAACGACGGCTCCGGGCTCGGAGGGGCTGGCCAGCAATTGTGGAGTGTGACAGTTAATTTTATGTGTCAACTTGACTGCGTGAACAGATGTCCAGATAGCTGGTAAAACATTACTGCTGGGTGTATCTGTGAGGGTGTTTCCAGAAGAGACGAACATTTCAGTTGGCAGAACGAGTGAAAAAGATGGCCCTCCTCAGTGTGAGGGGCATAATGCAGTCTGGTGAGGGTGTAGACAAAACAGAAAACAGAGGAAGGGTGAACGTGCTGTCGGCCTGAGCTGGGACGTCCACATTCTGCCCTCAGACACTGGCGCGTCTGGTTCTCGGGCCTTCGGACTCAGACTGGAACCACACCGCCAGCTTCGCTGGGCCTCCAGCTAGCAAATGGCAGATCGTAGGACTTCTGAAAGCCTCCAAAATCATGTGAGCCAATCTCTGGCAATACATTTCTCTCTGTATCTCTTGCTCTATGTCCTGTTGTTTCTGTTTCTCTGGAGAGCTCCAATACATAGTGCTTCAAGGAAAAGGTTATGGTGAGGGGCTCAAGGCACCCTGAGCACCTTGAGTCAGTGTTGACTTTGTGTGTGACTCTGGGTCCATCCTTCTACCTCTCTGAGTCCAAGCTCAGCGGGGAGGACCCACGATGTGGGCAACGATTAGGAGAATTAGCGGCCTTCTTTCTCAAGCACTTAGCACAGCAACAAAGGCCTAGTGGGTATTTCAGACGTATTACCTGATTAGTTCTCTTGATAGCCATGGCTTGGTACCAGCATCGCCCCCCATTTTACAGATGAAGAAATGAGGGCCTGCAGAGATCAAGTACCTTGCCCAGTTAAACCAGGTCTGTTCACTTCAGCCTGGACTGTCTCCCAAAGGTGGGAAAAGGGCAACGGTCACTATTCCTAAGTAGACTTGGGACTTTTGCCGAAGCACCCCAAATGTGTTTGGTACATAAAAGAAACACAACGCCCAAGATTTCTTCCCACAGGAAAAATTGTTCCTTCTGGATAGAACCTTGTGCAAATCTGCCAAAGACCATGGGGCATGAGGAGGCCTTGGGAACTAAGTGGGCCACAGGACAGGTGAGCCAGAAGGATCCGCATATAAAAGCTGCTCTGGCCAATGTAGACAGTGGCCTGGGGCAGGGGTGAAGGCTATTCTGCTCCGCCACAGGCTAGTTGAGCAACCCGGAGCTGGGGAGACTGCAAAGAGCTGCTTCCCTTTCTGCACCTTCCACCCCCGATTCCTGCCCTTGCTGGTGAAATCGGAGATGCCAGGGAGGGTGTGAAATGCCAGCTTCTGGGGCAGAGGCTAAACTGAAAAGCAGACTTTGGAAACCTGGGTGGAGGTTTGAACCACTGCAGGGATTAAAATGGGGCTCTGGCAATCCGCTCCAAATGGATTTCCTAACTGGGCCATCTGCCCCCCAACTATACTCTCGGCTCCAGGCCCCAGTCCTCCACCCCACTGCCACAGGGGCTCTTCCCTCTCCTTGCCTGCAGGGTAGAGCAATAAAATCGCTCATGCTGCAGCCAGGGGTTATAAAAGCTCAGCCCTACCCATTGTGTCCTAGCCACAGCCTAGGAGAGGTCCCAGGAATGGGGAAGCCTCTCTCCAGGCTTCCAGATGCCATAGAACAATGGGCAGGGGGCAGGAAATTAGGAGACTCTTGGCTGGGCCAGAGGCTCACTCTCAAGGACAAAGGGCTTCGATGGAAGGTTCAAGGGGAAGATTAGACCACTGCCTCTTGAGGGGTCCAGCCACTGTTGGGATTTCCCAGGAAAAGAACACACGTGACAAAGTTCCCCTGGCCTATGGGCGTGGGGAGGCAGGAGGTGTTCTGGCCCTGTCAGCTTCCCTCTCTCCACACTCAAAGCTGCCCTTCCAGGCCCCTGCCTGAATGGGAGAACCTAGCTTGTGCCTGCCCAGTAAGAATGGGCTAGAAAGTCTTCCAACCTGTGACCACCCCCCCCACTCCCACGGCCCCCCTATGTCCCATGTCCGTGATAACTCAGTAGTTTGGGGACAGATCAGCAGTCAAGCCCTATCTCCATGGTCCACTGGATACCCCCCCCCACCCTGGCCCATGCTCTCTATGGCAGTTTTGCTGGGTCCCTAGCTGACTCCCCAAATTCTGCCCCCTCTCCTCAAGCTCGCACTCTCTAAGAGGGAGGAGGGAGAGGTGGCTTGGGCCAGCCTCTACAGCCCTGAGCTTCTCCAGCTGTCCAGTTATCTAACTGTCCCCGCCTCTCCAGTCCCCCAGAGACAGGGCCTCTTTTTTAGCAGAAAAGGGGCTGGGTGTGTGTGTGTGTGTGTGTGTATAGATCAGGAGACTCCCTTTGAGTACCTTACACCCCACCCACCCTTTTTCCTTCCAGAATTCCTGCTGCTGGGTCACTGTTAGTCCCTCGCTAGGCTTCCAGGCCCATTTGCTGATAACCCCTCAGTTCCTCCACTGCCTCCCCCATCCCCAACAACCTTGGGGGCCAGGTCCACCTTGCAGTCCTTCCACAAGGTTCCCTCTGGTTCCTTACACACACCCTAAGTAGAGGCTGGTTTCTGTCCCCCTTCCTGCAATCTGGACCAAAACACGGAGTTTGGCCAGCTGTCCTGCGAGGCAGGGTAAGGAGTGGCAGCTCTCGAGAGAGTGGGGACCTCATGTGGGGCCTCTCCCCAGATCCTCCTTCTGTAAGCTTTCCAGCCTTCCAGACCAAAGAGGAGAGGTAGCTTCTCCTTGGCTCCGGAGGGACAGGGGACAATCAGCTCTTACCCCACGCCCCGCCCCCCCCTCCATGTCTCCACTCTAGGAAAGTGAAACAAGAGAGTTGGTTTATAGACTCCAAAATGTCAGGGCTGAGAGGCCTGGAGCGACCGCACTGACCTGTACAGAGGTGAAAAAAGAAGTCCAGAGAAGGAAAGGGACTTGCCCAAGATCACAGGGCAAGAACCCGGGATCTCAGATTGCTAGCCCAGGACTTCCTCCTCTAGAGCACAGGGCAATTACCCCAACAAGGGAGTCAGCACCTGGAGGGCCCTGGGAGAGCTGGAAGAGAAGTGGCCAAAGGGCTGGTCAGGGAGTGGGAGTGAGAAGGGGCCTGGGAACCCCGAGCAAAGGGGTGAAAGCCTGGAGGGGGCGGCGGCGGAATTCCCCGGGGCAGAATGAAAGGGCCGGGCGTGGGGGAGCCTGCACAGGGGTGTAGAGAAGAGCCTGACGACGTGACCCTGGCTAAGCCGCGTGCCCCTCCCGGCGGCCCGCCCTCCACTTGCAGGCCTCAGTGCGACCGGGACCCCCGGGCGCTGGGGCTCCCAGGTCCCGCCGGGCGAGGGAGGGTGCCTCACCTTCTTGAAGTCGGCGATGAAGGAGACGAGGGTGCCGTCGGGCTTGCGCAGCTCGAGGCTGATGCTGTCGGCGTCGCTGTCCGCCTGCAGGCTCTCCTCGGTGACCTGGCCGTCAGGCAGCCGCACGCGGACCCGCAGCTCGGCCGGCGCGCCCGGCCCCGCGCCCACGCCGCGCAGCGCCCCCAGCAGCGGCACGAGCAGCGGCAGCAGCAGTGGCAGCAGCAGCAGCAGCGCGGGGGGCGCCGTGGGGACCCCGCGGCGGCCGGGTGGGCGCATCCCCGGGGCCCCAGCCCGCCGCGACCGCGCGGCGAGGGGCGCTGCCAAACTTCGCGCGAAGTTACCGGCTAGTTCGGGGCGCGGGGCACGGCTCCCCGGGGGGCTCGGGCGCTGGGGGTCAGCGACGTGGCGCGGACGCACGTGGGCTGCGCTCCGCCGCGCGCCCCCCGGCAGCTCCGAGGCGGAGGCGGCCGCTCCCGGGGCCCCCGCGCGCGCCCACCGGCCCAGCGCCGCGACTGCCGCGGCCCCCGACTCCGGCGCTCCGAGACTCTGTTTTGCACTTTTCATTCAATCCCACCCCCCGTCACTTCCTTCGGAAAACAGAAACCACCAGGACCTGCCTTAAAGAGACCGCGCACCTCTCGGCCCTTAAAGGGCTCGCGGCGGCTCCCCGCACTCCGGCCGTGGCCCGGGGGAGGGGGCGGGGACCGGGGACCGCCGCACAGCGGCTTTGTGGGAAAAGGGCTTTCTCAATCTCCCTTCCTCCCTGCCGCGCCCCGTGCGACCTGGCTGTGTCAGGAGTTGGCTGTCCCGGCAAATCCCTTCCTCCCAGCAGGGGCGGGACGGGTGATTCTCCCCCTCCCCCTTTTGGCTTGTTCTTGTGCCACGTGGACGAAATAATCGGGCTTGGTGTTTAAGGGGTTTTGTTTCGTGTTTTAGTTTCTCTGACAGCGAATTTCTAAAAAGTTTCTGCAAAATCAGACCTCACCTCTCCCTTAGTCTTTTGATTGCCCTGGGTCTGGAGAGATGAGCTGAGGTTCCCTCCCCCCACCCCCCCCACCCCCCCGCTTTGCTGTCCCTCGGGTGAGATAGTTCGATAAGTCAGGCCACCTCTCTGAAAGGGGCCCTCCACTTGCCCACATTTTGTGAGCCCCAGGGCAGCTTTTCTTTTCAGTCTCATCTCCCTCACTCACTCGCCGGATTCATGGCCTGTCCTCAGTCCTGCCCACCTCCCCAAACCCCCATCCTCCCTCCCAGCAAATCCAGGAAAATTCAGGAGAATGCCTAGGTTCTCAGGACACTGGCACTTGACCCACAGGGGTTTCTCCCACAAGTCCCAAGACTGTATGACTGCCTTGCCGTGCACGCCAACAGTGACCTGGGTGAGGGCAAGGGGATCTGGATTCCTGCTTCCTCTGAGTAGCTGTGTGCTTTGGGAGCATTTTAAAAATTCTTTGGGCCTAAGTGTTCCCCTGTGTATAGTGGGAGTTGCTGAGGCCTACGATGTCCTGCCAATTCCATGGAAGAGAAAGCCCCAGGGAGAGCCTCAGAACCTATTGTTCCCTGATGTCCATTTCACTTCTGTTTAGTGTCCGTCCCCTGTTCCTTCTGAGATCTTGATCATAGATGGTGAATACTCTCCTCTGCTCTGCAGCCTCCTTCCCTTCCAGGTTAACCCCAGCACAATGTTCTTATTAGTACCAAAGATCACAACAGGTACCCAGACAGCCAGGTACTGTGAGGGCACCCATAGCAGGCCCCCATCCTGTGAACTGCAGGGTTGGGCCTAAAACCTGTCTCCTTACTGCCTACCCATGGCTCTTCCTACTACACTCTGCTGTCTACATTGATAGGACTGAAAGGGATTCAAGAGGCTTTCTAACTCAGTGTCTTCCAAATTTGTCTTATCAAAAGAATCATCTGGGTGCTTGTTAAAAAAACAAACACCTGGGTCCCTAAATCTAGCCAAACAGACGCCCTAGAGAAAAGAGCTGAGAATTTGCATGTTTAACAAAAGCCCAGGTGAGGCTTGATCTAAGGGGTCTGACAGTTGGTACTTGACAGAAGGTTGAGCAGAGAGGATCTAAAACTACCCTGGCCCCTAAGGAGTTGATCTTCATATCAGGGAGATAAGGCAGGCAGGCAGAGAATAATGGATTGGCACAAAGCCTGCTCTCCTGGGCCCTTCCACCCCAAGCTGGCAGGACTGAAGAAGAGATGCCCAGGGTCTCAAAACTGGCTTCCTGCCTGTTAGGCTACTCATCTCCATGTAGCCTTAGAGCTGGATCTTCTCGCGTAAGTCAGGCCACGTGGTCATTAGGGCCTCACCCACATTTCTTAACTTTCCCTGTTTCTGGGCCTGTCCCCCATCCATCACCTGCTCTGCCCCAAGCCACGTTCTCAAGCCCCTTCCCCTTCACCCCAGGGAGAGCCCAGAAGTAAACAGAAAAAGCCCTGTGTGTCTGGCTTCTTTTTTAAGTCTCTGGGGGCTGTCTTTACCTCTATGCAAATGCAAAGAAGACCTCATCTCCTCTCTCACCCCTTTGCCCAAATCAGCTTCCTCCTTTACTGTAACCACAGACCAAATTAGATTTTTCTTTCAAGATGCAGAATCTGAAGTCTCTACCGTGTGAGCCTCCCGTCTCTGTCCCTAGTCCTTCCTTTTGATTTTACCCAACCCACTCTTGAAGATCCGGGACAAAACTGGAGTTTCCCAGAAAGACTTTCTCAGCTGCTGACCTACAGCTCTGCCCTGTACTTCTCTCTCTGGCCTCTGGACTCCCACAATAACAATTATGATAGCACCTCCCGTTCACCGTATCCTTATTATGTCCAAGTTCCGTGCCAAGCACTTTACCTGTATCATCTTAGTTAATTTTCATGGCAACTCTCCAGAGTAGGTTCTATTCTTAGCCTCTCTTTTACTGACTCGCAAACAGAGGCTAACAGAGGTTAAGTCCTGTACCCAAGGTCGCACATGGAGGGGGGCCAGCAGGGGCTCAAACACAGGTCTGCCTGACCACAGAGCCCTTGCTTGTAACCGCAACAGTACGTGCCTGCCCGTGGCCTTTGCTTGCCTCCAGCCCCCTTCAGGCACCCATCCTGTACCATCTCCCCTTGTAATCTAACGGTTTCCTGTGTGGTAGTCTTTTACCCCAGCCAGGCTGTCAGTTCGTTCAAATAGGCCAGCCCCCATGCTTGGAACACAGAGTGCGTCCCTTAAACCAGCCAGGCATAGAAGCATCCATTCTTTGTAACTGTAAAGGCCCCAGAGGAAGAGCTCTAACGAACCTAATTACCCTGACTATGACCAAACAGCCCTCATTGTCAGAACATTCTTTATGTCTAATCTCAAGCCCTCTGCCCCACCATAAACCAATTTCCTTTCCTTTCTGATCTATTGCCCTAGGAGAGCAGTTGCGAGTAGTGGTTCAAAGCAAGGGACATCGGGATCTCAGCCCTGGAGCTTGGCCACTCCCAAGCTGCGTGATTCAGTGAGCCTGTTTCTTCATCTGTAAGATGGGCATATCAATGCTTACCTCCCTGGGTTGTTTTGACAATTAAATGAAAGATGGAATACAAAACACTTTACAATATATTTGGCATATAGTCAAGGCCCAATAAACCATGGCTATTATTACTTAATACTGTTTTTTCGCTCGCATTGTATCAAATATTAAATCCCTGTGTGGCCTGCACACGACCCTCTCCTCCCTTGGCTCACCCCCTAAACACACACACACTCATTCAAGAACACTTTTTTCTCTGTGTTCTCTTTAGGTCTTCTGGTTTTATATCGCTCAGGACCTCTCAAACTGGGAAGTGGGCCACCAATCATTGGGTGGGACGAGTCTCCCCTTTGCTTTTTTGGTCTTAGAGTGCCTCAGTTGGGTGATTGAGAAGACAGATGCTGACAGGGTCCTGTAGAAGGGTTGAAAGGGAAACTGAACCAGTCACCTCTATCCAGAGAGGGGGAGAATGTGATACGAAGCTTGCTGTTGCAGCAGTAGAGAGATTTTTCTTTCAATTTCTTGTTGTGGCTGGCCTTTGACTTGTGTTACGGTATGGCTCTCAGTTACTGGGCCCTTGCAGATAGGGCTGGCCACCTGCACATCGAGTCTGAAGAGGAACCCCGGATGCGACGGGATGCTTGCTCTCCTTTGCCTCTCGAGGCTGCAAAGTGCGTCACTTCACGGCCTGAGCAGAGGTGCAAATTAGCTTTACAGCATTACACAGTTACCCAGTTACATAAACCCAAGGGTGTGGTGGGAAGGTGGACTGGAGAGGCAGCAGGCTGGGGTAGAGAGTGGCAAGGAAAGATCCAGAACAGCTGGGTGAGCATCCCTTCTCCCCAGGCACAAAACCCAGCAGAGGGGAAGTTTAGATGGAGTCGGGCTGAATCAGTGACTTTCAGGAAAGGAAAAGGAAGCTTGAGTAATCAGAGCTGCAAGACAAGATACATCTTACTCTGATTCCAGGCCTGTGACTCTAGAAGGTCAGGAACATAACCATCTTCTTCTCCATGCTAGTTCTTCCAGGAGGCCTTTCCTGCTCCCCCACCTGGATGCTCACTGGTCCTTCCATCCATCCATCCATCCATCCATCCATCCATCCATCCATCCATCCTTCCATCCATCCAGGGTCAAGCACTACTGGGCTAGATGCTATAGTTACTCAGTGGGATAAGGCAGATGCAGCAATTCCTTACCCTGGGATGGAGCCTACAGCTGCAAGGGGAGCAGGCATTAACAAAATAAGTGTGAAAGCAAATATTTAAATTACAATTGTTGTAGCTCGTACCATGAAGAATTAGCGGGGACTCGAGCCTAGACCAGGAGGCCTGAGAAGGCAGCAATGTCTAGGCTGACTTAAACGATGAATCAGGATGGATCAGCAGGGATGAGGTTCCGGGCAGAGGGAACAGCTTATGTATGGGACCTGAGTCTGGTGGGCTCCCTGGCAACTTTGCCAAGTACCAGGAGTGATGGGGGCGGAGAGCAGCTGCAAGTAATCTGGGAGAGTTTGGCCAGGTAATGCAGGCGGTGCTAGGATGTGGGCTTTGTTTTCCTAAGAATAGTGGGCAGTCACTGTATTATGTAAGGCAGTGACGCGACCAGATGTGCATTTTATTTATTTATTTATTTATTTTAAAGATTTTATTTATTTATTTGAAAGAGAGAGAATGAGAGAGAGCATGAGAGGGAAGAGGGTCAGAGGGAGAAGCAGACTCCCTGCTGAGCAGGGAGCCTGATGCGGGATTCGATCCTGCGACTCCAGGA